GTCTCCAATCCTGAGTTCAGGGAAGACAGGTTAATGGGTGTGTGAGCCACCCTAGAGTTTTCTTCCGCAGTGTTTTTCCGTCTCAACAAATATTGGCAAGTCACAGCGCTGGTTTCCACCTAAACATCAGAAACTGCAGTGGTGCCTCGCAAAACAGGCGCTCCGTTTAATGGCGAACCCACATTATGGCGAGGTTTTTGCGATCGCTAAACGTTTTGAATGGGGGAATTTCGCTGCACGATGATCGGTTCCCTGTTTCGGGAACCGATTTTCGCTTCCCGACTATCAAAACATTTGATTGTCAGGGTTTCAAAATGGCCACCGGGTGCTCAAAATGGCTCCCCGCTGTGTTTAGGAGCCATTTTTCGCTGCACAGGCAGCCGAAAATGGCCACCCCTATAGAGGATCTTTGCTGGACGGTGAGTTCTTAGCCGATTGGAACGCATTAACCAGGTTTCAATGGCTTTTTTATTTTCGCTTTATGACGTTTTCGTTCTACAGCGATTTCGCTGGAACGAATTAACGTCGTAATGCGAGGCACCACTGTATAGAGAATTCCCAGAGGAAAAGTTTTTCTCCCTTCTGTGCTGGGCATGAGTGGAGAACATCAATATCCCCATTTAATGATCTGGGCTTTGTTTACCAGAGGAGCCTCCCCCTCCCTAATATAGTGTCGATGACGTGTGGCATGGGATGGCAGGAAGGGGTGATAAGAATATGGGACAAAGGAGGCTGGCAAGAATCCACAGAACCATCACCCCTTACCAAGAGGGTCTGGGCAGCAATCTTATTCGCGGTGGCCCCCTGCATCCCCATCTTTACGGCGCCTTCTGCCAGCGCTTCCGCAAACATGTATGCCTGTGAAGAGGTGACAAGACATGAAAGAGAGGGAAAGCATCTTTGAGACAAAACACTCAGAAGGGGGAGGAAGAGTCTGGGAGGCGAGGGAGAAGGAGAGAAGTTGCAAATTGAGCAATTATGGCATGGTTTGAGATGTTTTTGAAGACATGGGTCTGCTAGCAAAAACAGAGGCATTGCAAGCCACTAGAGGTCAGACTCCG